TACTTTTGGACTACGGGTTAGATTCCCGGTAGATCCCCCCCCCCTGTATTTTTACTTTGGGGCTACGGGTTAGATTCCCGGTAGATCCCCACACACATTGATAATTGGTCTACAGGACGGTATCCCGGGAGATCCTTCGGATATACTCATATGATGGACTACGGGACGGTATCCCGGGAGCTCCTCGGACGGTTGATGAAATGGACTACGGGACGGTATCCTGGGAGGTCCTCGTTGTTGGTACTAATATTGAGCTGTTTTACTCTGTGTTACCTTATTCTCTGCGTGTTATTGTTGCTTCGTATAACTTGTCTTACTTCATAGTTTTATTCATTATTTCTGTTTACTTTATAATGCTGCAAGGCTTATTATTATGTTTTACCTCAGTAGGGCCCTGACTTTCCTCGTCACTACCCGACCGAGGTTAGGCTTGGCACTTACTAAGTACCGTTGTGGTGTACTCGTGCCCCTTCTGCGCATGTTTTTCATGTGTAGATCCAGGTACTTCATCCCAGGCGTATCACTCTCGAGGCGGAGAGATCTAGCTGAGATTTCGAGGTACTTCTGCCGCGTCCGTAGAGCAGGAGTCTCTATCTTATTCCAGCTTTAGTAGATAGTCTTTCCTTTCTTTCAGTTGTTTAGACATTCTGGAGTTAGAGCAGTGTATTACTCTTCTATTAACTTGTGTTTTCCGTGAGTTTCCGGGTTTTGGGGTGATATTGTAGACTTTTGCATTATGGAGTTGTACATGCCGGGCGGCATTTATATACAATTCCGTTTAGTTGTTCAGTTTTAATTAATTATTCCGCAAGTTATGTTGTTTTTCCGCATTGTTAGGCTTACCTAGTCGTAGGGACTAGGTGCCATCACGACATTTTCACGGAGGGCGAACTGGGGTCGTGACAGTATCGTTACATCTTCGTACATTATAAACATATTCCATCTTCTACTTTGTTTATAAATTTTCTATATAAACCCTTTCACAAGTAGAAATTCTTATCTCCACTTCACAAGAACTATTAGGGGTGTGTTTGGAATGAAGGAAAATATTTTTCACGCAAACATTTTCCTGAAAAATATTTTACGCAAAATTATTTTCCTGAAAAATATTTTCTTGAAAAATAAGTGGTTTGTTAATTATTTTTTGGTATATGGTTAGTCCGTAGATTTTATTTTTTTAAAAAAAAATAAATAAATAATCGAGGCAAACATTATAAGAGACGAAATGAGTGAGGGTCGAAGGAGGAGCGAGGGAAGGGGGGGCATTAAGGTTCAGAGCTGAGGTCGAGGATCGGGGGGTCGAAATCGGGGTTTGGGGTGAGGATGATGGGGGTCGAGGGGTCTAGATCAGGTTTTGGGGTAGGGATAATGGGGGTCGAGGATGGGGATTAGGGTTAGATTTTAGGGTTGAGGTTAGGGTCGGGATTAGGGTTAAGGGTCTGGATTGGGGTTCAAAGTCAAGATCGGGGTCGAGGTCTGAGATTGAGGCTAGGGTCGGGGTCGGTGTTTGCAGTCAAGTCCGAGGATGTGTCAGTATTAGGGTTAAGGTCGAGGGGTAGGGGCCTGCTGACGGGTTTGAGTATGGGGATGGAGATTAGGGTTGGGGATTGGGTTACGATCTCGGGGTTAGGGTCGAGGTCTAGAGTCCGGATTGAGGTTGGAGGCAGGATTGGGGTTCAAGGTAGGGATTAAGGTTCGGGGTCATGCTCGAGGTCGAGGTCAGGGTAGGGATTCGGGTTGGGGGTCAATGGTTAAGGTCAAGATTTGAGGTTCAAGGTCGGGGTCATGGTTCAAGGCCGGGGTTCAAGGTTGGGTATCAGGGTTATTCTTGGAGTTAGAGGTGGAGTGTCGAAGTCGGGGTCGACGTTTGAGGTTGGTGGGGGTTAAAGTCGAAAATCATGGTTGGTAGGCGTTTTGACTCCCAGTCAGCTTAGGACATTTTGGACCTATCTCTAAGATATAAATGCTCCACAATATGGACAAGGATCACCATAATAAGAATAACCAATATTCGACCAATTCTCATTCCAAGATGCCATGTAAAAATAAATTAAGGAATTACTACACTAGACTAAAATTAAAAACTTAAATAGATAAAAAGTAAAAGTCTAATCTAACAAAACAGTCAATTTCAAAGTCCCCGACAACGACGCCAAGAACTTGTTGCTCCCAAAAGCACACACAAGTATACGTGGTCGACAAGTAATATAAGATTGTAAGTCCAGATATCGTACCCACAGGGACTTGTGATTAACTATCAACTAAATTAAACCCAAACAATTAATCTATTCAAGCAAATTCTAAAGTATGAATATTTAACTAAAGATAATCTAGAGTAGTAATCTAAGAAACAAAGGAAACAAATTGGTGAACTTAGACACGAAATCAATGGGAGAAAATATTCTAGAGTTATGGGTAGCTAACAAGCCCGTTGAGTTTTTCACTTAAATTGTCTAATTAGTTTATCTAGTTTATTGATTGACAGGGTTAATATTACTTGTAGCCTTCTCCCGAAGTACTACTCGTCTATTCAAGCTAACCTAACGCATATATTCCTATGGAGTTGGAATTAACAAGAACGCATTAATATTCTTGTATAGTAACCAAGCAAGGCGATTAGGTATATTCCTATCCTAATCGCAAATCCGTTCCCGATACTCGAGTTCAAGATCTCGCTCTACTCAATCTTATATGCAATCTAGAATTCCCTCTCCGAGTTCATCCTAAATTCGTAGATAGTATTCAATTGATGATCAAACAATCAAATAATTAAGCGCAAGATTGAATAAATAAACCAATATAATAAAATAATAAGAACAATCCAAACTTCAAACTACACTCATGTAGCACCCCACAACTCTAGAACTAATAAACTATGAAAATTAAGAGAAGACAAGAGAAGAAAAACTAGTTAGAAGCCTCCTCCAAGCGTGGTGTGTGTTCCTCCCTCACAAAAGTCACGCCCCCCCCCCCACCCCCACCCCCTCCCCCCTCCCAAAAGTCACGTTCAAAGACTATTTATATGGGATAGGGTTAGCATGGATTGAAATAATACAAGCCCACTTCGAAACAGCCTTTTTAGGTTAGCTCGTTCGCTCTCTCGTGCGCACATGGGAGTGAACGAGCAAAGTTCTTCTCTTTATCTTTTTCTTCTAGGTCTCTCGTGCACTTCCATGCCTTTTTGCTATACTTCACTGTTTTTTTCCAAGCTTTTCCTCAGTAGCTCGTTCACTCTCTCGTGTGCACGCGAGAGTGAACGAGCAAAGTCCTTCTTTTGTCTTTTGATCACGAATCAACTTCTTTTGCTCACATTTCATCCAACTTGCTCCTACACATACGAATGCACGTAATGAGCATAATTCACTATAGAAACTCATGTAACCTACCGTAACCACACAAGTTATGAGATGAAAGAATACCGAAAAATATGCATTTTTGGCCGTTTATCAACTAGCTTAGTTAAAGACAAAATTGCCCTTCAAAATTATGCTTGATTAAAATATGTTATTATTTTAATGCAAGTTTGATGTAAAGTTTGATACTGAAATTGCTCTCGCTGTTTATATCTATGCTCCGCCAATTTCTTCATTGTAAATTTATAAATTTGTACTCTACTATTACATACTAGAATGAACTTGTAATCAACTCATTTTTCCTTTTATTTTTTTAATTCAAACTTTCTTTGCCTAATAATCCAAGAAAGTGAAAAATAAAATTATATTCTTAGAAGATAAATAAATATTTAGCATATTTCTTTTTCTATAAATAAGTATTCAGTTCTATAGTACAATATAGGTAGACAAATCAAATAATTTTTTAAACATTTTTCATATAAAAACATTCCTCAACATGTGTTTCTTTTACAAAGATAAAGTGATGGACTGGTTATGAGGGTATTTTTGTTAACAAATAATTCTTTTAAAAATTGTGTAATGCTTTAATATATCAAATCAAACGTGAATAAGAAATATGCCAGCACTAATGCTAGCATAACTAATAACAATATTACTAATACATCACATTCAACATTGTTCTCATGCACCATACCAAACGATCCCTAAGTGTTAGAACTCCAGAATGGCATCTCACTAATTATGTTGCCTACCATGAATGTTTTTTAATTTGTTTATTCACAAGAAATATGAAGAAGATTCACACGTTTTCTAAGTCATCTAAACAAATAAAAAACATGGCATGCGGCTACCATATATTGAATATATAACTTGGATCTCACTAAAAGAGAAAAGATTATTTTATACTTAGATAATTCAAGTTTTATAAAGTTAGAATTAATATATTGGCCACGCTGCCAGTATTCAATAGCTCAACATGGGAACATACAGACAGAATAGCTAATAATGCAATAGTTTGTCTCTATATAAATTGAACAATTTAATGCTTTGTGTTTTCATCATCTCTCTAAATAAGTCTTCTCTCCATATATAGCTCAAATACAGAATAAGCAAAAATGAGATCCGTCCAACTTGTGTTGGTCAAGCTTATGATCTTCCAATTTATCATGTTATTACATGCTCAGGATTTTGATTTCTTCTACTTTGCTCAACAGGTATGTAATTAAGCACCTGAGACTTCTCCAGTAGAGTATTTCCATGTTAAGCTTTTCTGAACTTCATTTTGTATTTCATGTCAAAGCTTCAGATGTATGTTTCATGAATAAGTCATTTTCTCCTGTTTAATTACGAGAAAATAATTTTCGGTGATAATCCCTCCGGTCCAAAATAAGTAATTTTTTGGTTTTTTTTTTCTGTGGTCCAAAATAAGTGATTTTTTCAGATTTCAAGAATGAATTAATTATTTTTTTCCTACATTGTCCTTGGAGTAAATAGTGTTGGAGTATGCGTTAGGAGTGCTTATGTGAGATAGTAAAGGTTAATATGGTCAATTTCATTGCTAATTAATGCTAAAAGATGGATTTCTTAATCTGTGTGAAAACATCCAAAAAATCACATATTTTGGACCGGAGGGAGTAACATTTTTTTATCAAAAAGGGGGTAAAATAACATTCCTTACTTTGGGCAAGAATCATATTTTTTACAACAGATTAGCTAATGCCATTATTATTCTTTGATATGTATTGAATTTTTCCGGAAAATATTTTCCTTTAACCAACCAAACACCACGAAATATTTTTTATAATAAATAAAAGAAATTCAAAAACGTAGTTTGCAGGAAATGACCTCCATGAGTCCATCGACGCACTAATTTGTATTACTCATCATTATCAATTCTTGATTAATTAATATGTACGGCTATATATATTCTCAGTGGAATCCAGCATCATGTGACAGCAAGATAAAATGCTGCTACCCAACAAATGGGAAACCAGCAGAAGATTTCTTATTTCCAAGCTGCTCTTGCCTTGAAGGAAAAGGTGAACCTGCTTCAATTTCTCAACGATGCAGGTAATAAACCTTACACAAATGTACTATTAATGACGTCGAGTTTAAGATCTGTGCACTATTAGTATTAAAATATTTAGATAATCATATCACTTACTCCCTCGGTTCCAATTAATGTGAACATGTTTGACTGGACACGGAGTTTAAGAAAAAAATGAATACTTTTAGAATTTGTGGTCCTAAACAAGTCCAAATGGGGCCCAGAGTATTTGTGTGGTTATAAAAGCTTCTCATTAAGGGTAGAGTTGTAAGTTTAAGCTAAATTGTTACCAAATTTAGAAAGGGTTCATTCTTTTTGGAACGGACCATAAAGGAAATATGTTCACATAAATTCGAACAAAGGGAGTACAAAATAACGATTATTTATGATAAATATTAATCAATAACCTAGTAAAAACGGTACCTAAATGACAATCACAAGCTCAAATTCAGGCAGATCTACTTATATGATTTGGGTTCACGTGAAACGTAACCATCCTGCCTGTCCAAATCTTGTATATTAATGTACCCAATTCTTATAAATAATGGTAAACTTGTGCTTGTGAACCCAATAACCACAAATTGATGTGGTGCATTAGTCAATAAATTTTTTTGTAGTGACGGACTTTGAGTTGTGATAAATAATTTTATACACTAGTAGTTTACTGGTTGTCATAAGTCAGTATTTATCATTTTTAAATTAATTTTTGTATTTGAAATGCTTTTTAAAATTATTAGCGTATAAAAAATTAAATTCATGTGGGGATAGAAATAAATTCTCTCGTTTCTATTGTCCAACTCCCGTTCACCAATATATTCCTTTATGTCATTAGGAGTGATGCACCCATTTTCTTGAAATTTTGATTCCGCCCTGATTATATCTAATGTATATAGCTTATCCAATTACATCTAATTCAGTGTCGGAGTTAGGAATGGTGCTCTTTAGCTTGGTTTTCTAATAGAAGTAAAATATTTTCAGGTATTAAACCAGATGGAGGATTTTATAGCTATGAAGCAATCAAAGAAGCAATAGAAAAAGGCATTGGACATACTGTTGGTGTAGAATGCATTACTGATTTATTTGGGAATAGCCAGCTTTTTGAGGTTTATGTTTGTGTTGATAAATCAGGTTCGAAAATCATTGACTGCCCAATTGTCCCAGAAAGTAAGAGATGTAAAGAAACTATTGAATTTGCTGTCTTCGAATCAGAAAGTCTCCTTGATGAGAAATCTGCCTATTCGCTCTAGAGAGACTCTTCTTGGCTAGGAAATTATTCTTCTTGTATTTAATTTCAATTTTTTTTTTTTTTTTTGCGGGGGTTATAAGTTTTATGTTTTAGTCAACTCTGTGTTGGATGTCTTTAAACAGCCTCTCTATATTTGCTTGATGGTTCTACTCATTCATTTGGGTATTTGACACCTTTCCTTTGTTTAATTTTTCAGTTGTGTTATTGTCCTTGATTTGATTACAATGATTCTAATTTTAGGAACTTCCAAGTTGCAACAGTGATAGATAATAATCTCAGTTTGTCGCGAGTCTTAATTGTATGTAGCTGAGCATGTTCGAGTATGAACGTGTTTTGATGATTGACAAACTAGAATCAACTATGCCAAAAGAACCAGGTTTCGTGGACAGAATATTATGCTAGAAACTGGTAAACATATATAATATGCAAATAACAAGAGAACCAAGTTCGTAGTTGAATGACGTTCAAGGCTGATCAGACGCGTGAAGATTGAATGCATATGCAAGTTGGATGCCAAAAGGAAGCATGTTCGTGCGCGATAAGAAAAAATTTGAGTTGGAGGAATCTATGTGCTAAAAGGATTTCTACAAATAAAGAATAACTTGCTTGGAAGGAAAAGGTTGAGGAGGTGGAAGCAAATAAGGAAACCAAATCAAATTTGGAGAAGGTTTTCCTTGAACGAAATATTCTAGGTTTTGGAGCATCGATTGGAGAAGGATCTTGACCACCCTCATACCTATATAAAGATACCTATAGTTGGCGCCTAAACTAATGCCATTCACATAAATCAAGTATTTACTCTTGGCAATAGCTACTACGGCAAGAAGGTGCTCTCAAAGGATTCAAACTGCTCAACTAAAGAATCTGTTCTAGAAGACGAAGCAGTCGGTCCTTTAGTTGTTAGGTTGAGTAGGACTTGTTAGGTTGAGTGTTCTGAAATTGTAATCTATTTGCTTTTGAGAAGTGCAATCATAGGTTAGCACAAAAAAAGTGAAGTTTTTGTTTTGCTTTCCAGACTAAAGTTAGTTTGGAAAAAAGTCACTACAATTGGGTTGATTGTAAGAGCAGGGCTCCTTGGTTATCGAGTTGTAATTTAAAATTGATCTTTGAAGTTAGTGATGTTTGAAGGCGAATCCTACGAGGGTAGGTCGTGATTTTTACTCCTTTGACTAAGGAGGTTTTTCACGTAAACATCGTAATGTTCTTTTCACGTAAACATCGTAATGTTCTTTACATTCCGCGCTTTAATAGCTACTTGTGTTTGTTCTTGGGTACATCAAAGAACCGGTTCTTTGAAAAAGCTATGAACATTTTGGAAATGGGGTCTTTGCCTTTGATTTTCAACTAACTCTTCCTGATGAAAAAGCTATGCAAGCAATTGAATTAACTCTTAATACAAACATCTATGCAAGCAGGTTGTTCAAGGCAAGGAAAAACATTGTCCAAGATACTCCATTCTATAATACTAGGACTTTCTAGTTTCAAGAATTTAAATTGAAGGAACTCATACATTGTGTATTAAAATAACTAGTAGCTATTTGAGTAATCTAATGTTGGACTTACGAATAAACAAATCATGGATATTGTCAAGTTAGCAAGATCTTGAAGAAGCCACAGACCCAAAACCCTGTACAACGCAAGCTTAGCCAACCTTCTGTAAAAACAAAACTTTATCTTGCTATTTAAAAGTAATATAAATCACAATTTCAAATGATAGCTAAATTCTTACAACTCCAAACAACAACAACAACAACAACTTAATCTCATACGTAGGATCTGGGAAGGTAGTGTATACGCAGCCTTACTCATACCCTATAAAGGCAGAGAGGGATAAACCATCGGCACATCTTAGAATGTATTTACATAGAATTTGTTGCACCAACGTTCTTTCTTCTTCATATAAACCTGACCATCATATTAATATAACAATAAGACTTGACCATCCTTTGCCCTATTTTAGGCATAACATCTTCAATGCCCACTATTTCTCTATACACACTATTGGAATGTTAGTTAATAGTGATCAAGTGTGAGAACATAGTGGGTTTTGAAGATGTCATGTGCAAAATAGAACAACAAAAACACAAAAGGATTGGCAAATCATAGATGTTAGCAACTGCTGGTATGCCAGGAAGAGGAATTTTGGTCAGTTCTCTTGAATTACATATAACAGATATTTCAATTCATTTTCCTGCTTTTAGGAGAAGATATTGCAAAGGGGGAGGAGAGGAAATGAGATTTGGATCTGACGGCTGACCTAGCCTTTGCAACAAATAAATAGGGGTCAATCATAAAATTTTAGGGCAAAAATGTCCTTATAAGAAATTTACTACTCTCAAGACAAGATCTGACATTATTATATTTTCAAAAATATTTAGTGTGTAAAATTTTATTTTTATACTTTTAAATAGAATTAAACAAAATTAGTTAAACTTTTCTAATAATAAATTTTTTAGAATCATTCATAATTAAAAGAAATATTTGGCACGATGGATATCCCGAAGGTGTTAAAGAAACCTTTTTTTTTTCATGATGTAAGAGGTAAGTTCTACTAACTTCTTTTCCATTCCAGTCAGTAGTAAGAGTAGAATTTAATGACATTAAGAAAATTCTTATATTCTAGAATTTATTTTATAGATAAAATTAATAGACTACAATTTTAATGGGTGAAAAACAAATACAATCAAAATTTTACTTGAAAAAGCAGGGATTGAAAAAAAATCAATTAGGTAGAGATAAGTTTAAAATTTAAATTTTGCTTTCCATGATAAGATGCGTAGATTTACTTATTTCAAAATACGAAAGATTATACTTACTATAAAATTAAAAATAACTTTTAAAATAAAAAGATTAAACAAATGAAAATTTGGTGGTCAAAATGTGGTCTGCGAGTTTTGATTTTGCAAATGAGGTACTGAAAACTATACCTCTATGGATCCAGTTGCCAAAGCTGCCGTTAAGCTGTTGGGAGGATGATTCATTAAGCAGAATTGGAAGCACGTTGGGAATTCCTATATATGCAGATGCGTGTACAACAAGAGTTGAACGTATTTCGTATGCTCGAATTCTGGTAGAAATGGATGTGACAAAGCCATTACCAAAACAAATCAAGGTTGAAGATCCTAATAGGAGAGAATTTGAACAAGAGGTGTGGTATGACTGGTTGCCACAATATTGTACAAAATGTTTGCAACTAGGACATATTTGTCAAGAGCAACAGAAGGAGGAAGTAAAGCAGAAAGGTCGAGAGTTGAAACCAAAGCAATTTTGGAGGAAAAAGGAACAAGGAACAAAGAAGCAGGACATTGTGGCTGAAGTGAATAATAAAAGGGAAGAGGGTAAAAATATAGAAGGAGTACAATCAAAAGAGATAATCAAATCACAAGAGCAAAATGAGGAAGAGGGATGGCAGATAGTTAAGGAAAAGTCAATAGTAAGATTTGGAAAACATGGAGGGAATAGTATGGGGGCAATAATGAATGGAGGGAGTACACCTGAACCTACAAGCTCCCTGATGATAGGCATGGGTACCAGTAGTAGTAATAGATGGGAGGTGATGAAGGAGTATGAAGCACCTTTTATTCCCAGATGAAGATTATTACATGGAATGTTAGAGGCCTTAATAAGGTCTATAAACAAAAAGAAATAAAGAAGTATATTAGAGAAAATAAGGTGGGATTAATAGCAATAATTGAACATAGAGTGAAGCAGCAGGGGGCAGAGACAATTATACAGAAAATAGCAACAAAATGGAAGTATAAGGACAACTATGTAGCGAGTACAAAAGGGAGAACTTGGGTTGTGTGGAATCCAGATGTTTTGAATTTTATACAATATAGTGTGACTGAGCAGATGATTACAGGGAGGATTACTATTATAGAAAATAAGGAAGAATTCTGGTTTTCTGCAGTCTATGGTTTGCATACAGTTGAGCAGAGAAAATCTATGTGGGAAGAGTTAAGGAATCTGCAAAAGGGATTGAACGGAGCTTGGATTGCTATAGGAGATTATAATGCAATAAATAGTTGGGATGATAGGTTTAATGGAAACCAGGTGATTGAATCAGAAACAAGAGACTTTAATGAGTTTCTGGATGATACAGGAATGGCTGAGCTGAAATATATTGGAAGAAAGTTCACATGGACTAACAATAACGTGCATAGTAAGATTTATAGAGCTCTAGTGAATGAGGAATGGATGATGAATATGAGACAGTTGGAGGTGGTGGTTCAAGACCCTTTATTCTCTGACCATACTCCTTTGTGTATATGTTTTGAACAGGAACAACAGAGAAGACCAACACCATTCAGATTCTTCAATGCAATAGCTGAACATAAGGAGTTTGAGAGCATAGTGAAAACAACATGGGAGGTGAACATGAGAGGAACATCAATGGAAAGAATATGGATGAAACTTAAAAGATTGAAGGGTGAACTGAAAAAACTGCATAAAGAGGAATACAGCAAGACCAAGGAGAAAGTAATAAATATTAGAGAGGACTTGAAGAAAATACAGGAGCAAATGAGAGATCCTGTGCAAGCAGAAAGACTGAAAACTGAGGAAAAACAACTTAGAGAAAATTTAGAGAAATGGAGCACAATTGAGGAGAGTATGATGAAGTAAAAATCTAGAATCCAATGGTTGAAGTTAGGGGACTCAAACACAACATATTTCCAGGCAAGCATGAAGAATAGAAATGCTCAGAAAAGAATTACAAAATTATCTACTCAAACTGGTGGATATACACAGAATCAAGAGGAAGTTGAGCAGGAAATCATTCAATTCTATAAGAGGCTTTTAGGAACAGCAGCTGAGGAAATGGAAGCAATTGAACCAGGGGTGATGAAGAGGGGTAACAGATTGACAAGAGAACAACAATTGAAACTGATAGAGCCAATAACAAGAGAGCAAGTTGTCAAAGCTTTGAATAGTATAGATGATTCTAAAGCACCAGGGTGTGATGGGTATAATGCCTTGTTCTTTAAGAAGGCCTGGTCTATAATTGGTGATGAAGTAGTAGAAGCTGTGCAGGAATTCTTTAATAGTGCTGAAATGTATAGGCCTATAAACTGCACCTCAGTGACATTGATTCCTAAAGTCCAAAATCCTGCCAAAGTGGGTGAGTTCAGACCTATATCATGTTGTACTACAATGTACAAAATTATTTCAAAGATCCTGACATATAGACTACAAGAAGTGATGGATTATTTGGTGGATGAGAATCAGTCAGCATTTGTACCAGGGAGAATCATCTCAGACAACATTATCCTAAGTCATGAGATAGTAAAAGGGTATAGCAGGAAGAATATTACACAAAGGTGCTGCTTGAAGATTGATATGAGGAAGGCATATGATTCTGTGGAATGGTGTTTTCTAGAACAAGTGCTGGAGCAGTTGTGTTTCCCAGGAGTGTTTGTCACATGGATTATGAACTGTGTTAAAACAGTCTCATATTCTATTCTGATCAATGGGAATCCTATGAAACCTTTTCAAGCAAAAAAAGGTTTGAGGCAAGGGGATCCTATGTCCCCTTTTTTGTTTGTTATAGTGATGGAATACTTAACAAGAGAACTGAAAAGCCTAAAGGAGAACAAGATGTTTAGTTTTCATCCAAAATGTGCTAAAATAAATATAGTTCAACTAAGTTTTGCAGATGATTTGTTGTTATTCTGCAAAGGAAGATTAGATGCAGTGAAGGAACTATATGAATGTTTCAAGAGGTTCTCAAATGTATCTGGATTGGAAGCAAATGAAGAGAAAAGTAGTGTCTACTTTGGAGGGGTGAAGCAGGATGTACAACAAGACATTCTGGACTACTTGGGATTCATTAAAGGAGAATTGCCTATAAGGTATCTTGGAGTTCCTCTGAGTACAAAAAGGTTGGCAATAACTCAATGTAAACCATTGATTGAGAAGATCATTGGCAGAATCACAAGCTGGACATCAAAGTTTTTATCTTATGCAGGAAGAGTTCAACTCATAAAGAGTGTCTTATTTTCAGTCCAAACTTTTTGGTCACAGATCTTTACATTGCCAAAAAAGTTGATACAAATGATAGAGAGTGTATGTAAGAGGTTCCTATGGACTGGAGGAGTTGAGGTATCTCACAGGGCACTCATAGCTTGGGACAGGATTTGCTTGCCTCAGACAGCAGGGGGGCTGAACATAATGGATATTCAGTTGTGGAATAAGGCTGCTGTGAGTAAATTGTTATGGAATATTTGTAATAAAAAAGACAAACTGTGGGTGAAATGGATACATACTGGATAGCTTGTGGAAGAGTAAACCAATGCAAGCATCTTGGATAGTTCAGAAAATATTGAAGGCTGCAGAATACATGGAGGAAGCAGGGATACAAGAGGAGGAAATCAAAAAGATGGCTAAGTTCAATATGCATATGATATACAGGAAGTTGCAAGGAGAATTTCAGAAATGCACGTGGAAAAGGCTAATATGTAATAACTATGCTATTCCCAGGTGGAAATTCATCTTATTTCTGGCATTACATGACAGGCTACAGACGCGAGATAGAGTGGCTAAATGGAGTCTAGTGGAAGATAGTTCATGCACTATGTGTGAGGAAGATCCTGAAACTATTGAACACTTATTTTTTGGATGTACGATGACTGAGCAGATATGGAGCAACATACTAAAATGGCAAGGGATTAAAAGAAGAGCAAAAGGGTGGGCTGAAGAAGTGAGGTGGGCTGAAATGAATGTAAAGGGGAAATCAGCAAAGTCTCACATGTATCGGATTTGTTTAGCAGCATGTGTCTATCATATTTGGCATAAGAGGAATATGAGAGTTTTTCAGCAGAAAATCAGAAGCAAGGAAGAAGTTCTGCGAGCAATAGCACAAGAGATACATTACTGTGGCAGCAAGTACAGAAAGTTAGATAAAACATTACAGGAAATGAAGTCATACCCGCGATTTGAGTGATAGTTTATTGTTGATACTACCTTGAAGATATGTTTTTTTTTGTTCTTTTTGTGTAAGTAGATAGAAGAAGAGTACAGGGCTTGGGGCATGATGTCCAAGTGCCTGAAGATACAGATTTGTAAAGTTTTGATACTTGGTTTGTGAAATAAAAAAGTTTACTTACCAAAAAAAAGGGGCCATACTAAAAAAACTTTTGATTTGCTTATAAGGGTAATGGAACAAGGGAACATTAAGCCCGATGAGTACATCTATAGCATTGCTATACATGCCTTATGCAAAGATAGAATGGTAGATGCTGCAATTAATCTTTTGAATGAGATGAAACAAAAAGGCATCACTGTGGACATTGTCACGTATAATTCATTGATTGATGGGCTCTGTAAGTTTGGACAGTGGGAAAAGGTTAGGATTTTGCTCTCTGAAATGGTAAATTCGAATATTTATCCAAATGTGCGCACCTTGACCATAGTGACAGATGGACTATGCAAAGAGGGAAAAGTCGAAGATGTTGAGGAGGTAATGAGACACATGATTGAAAAAGGTGTAGAGCCAAATATAGTAACCTACAATGTTATAATCGACGGATATTGCTTGCGCGGACAAATGGATAGAGCAAGGAGAATTTTTGATTCGATGATAGATAAGAGCATTAAGCCTGACATTGTTAGCTATAGCACATTAATAAATTGATATTGTAAGAACAATAAATTGGATGAGGCCATGGATTTGTTTCATGAAGTTTCTTGAAATGGATTGAGATCCGACATTTTCACCTATAGTATCATTTTGAAAGGTCTATTTGATGTTGGAAGAACTGACTTTGCGCAATTTTTTTTGTTGAGATGCAATCTACAGGGCTCAAACCTAATTTTTGCACTAATCTCATTTTGCTCCGTGGTTATTTTCAGAATGGACTTGTCGAGAAAGCTATGTCGCTATTTCATAAGTTGGAAATACAGAGAGAAGATACTGATATTGAATTTTACAATGTTGTAATTAACGGATTGTGCAAAAATGGTCAGCTCGACAAAGCTCGTGCTATTTTTGAGAAGCTTTCCTTAATTGGATTATTTCCCGATGTGATAACATACAATACAATTATAAATGGATTTTGTCTAGAAGGATTGTTAGATGAAGCTAAAAATATGCTAAGAAAAATGGAGGAGAATGGTTGTTCGCCAAATAATGGCACCTACAATGTTATTGTGCGAGGATTTCTGAAATTCAGCAAAATAAGTGAAATGACAACTTTTTTGAAGGAAATGACCGAAAGGGACTTCTCATTTGATGCAAGTACTTTAGAGTTACTAATAGATGTTATAGCGAAGGATCCTTCTTTGCTTAACATGATACCACAGTTTCCCTTGGGAAATAAGAAGTGATATTTATTTCACTTGATTTATTCAGCTTTTCCTATCACTATGACACAATTTCCTTTTACTCTGCAAAAGAACTCACATCAACAGAATTGCGGAAGCTGAAAGAATATGGTAATTAGAACATTGCTCGAGTCCTAAACTTTTTCCTTCTGTTCCAAACCTTGCTGCAAGCAGTTGATTCACTAGATGTTTCACGTGTACAATTTTATAGTAAATTACATGTTTATCTGTTTATTATTAGGTGGTTCACTTAAAACTATAGCATGTAGTGGACTACCCAAAATTGAGGAAGCATGCCAAAATCTGCAGGATCATCTAAATACTTCTGACCTCAAGTGTGGTGAAAAGCTTAAGATGGTTTTTCTCTTACACTTGATATATAGTACATTTAACTTTTTTTTTTTTTGAGATTTTGGTTTCATTACGATTGAGATTGCTTTTTATTCATTTAAATACTTCTGACTAATGTGATTGGCCTGTCATTACTGGTTCCGATGAAATTAAATGTTCATGCCTTTGGCAGATGAAGAGGAGATTGATCATGTAACGACCTGGCCGGTCGTTTTTAAAATTTACGCCCCGATCCCCTATTAACTGTTTCCCCTAAGTTCATTTCCGCTATTTTGGTTTGCTGGGATGTTCGGTGTTGAGTTTTGGAGAGTTTTGGGATACTTAGTCCCTAAATGAGAGCTTAAGTGTTGGAAAATGGTCCGTAGTTGGAACTATGTGAAGACGGCCTCGGAATGAAAATCCGATGGTTCCGTTAGCTCCGTTAGGTGATTTCGAGGTTGGGAGCGTGTTCGGAATGAATTTTAGAAGTTCGTAGCTAATTTAGGCTTGAATTGGCGAAGTTAGTATTTTGGCGATTTCCGGTTGATAGGTGAGATTTTGATCCGAGGGTCAGAACAGAATTTCGAGAGTTGCTGTAGCTTAGTTAGGTGATTTGGGATATGTTTGCAAAATTTCAGGTCATTCGGATGTGTTTTGGTTGGGTTTTTGATCGAATGCGTGTTTTGGAAGTTTTAGAGGGACTTAGGCTTGAATTCGATGTAATTTGATGGTTTTGGCATTGTTTGAGGTGTTTTTAGGATTGGAACAAGTTTGAATAATGTTTTAAGATGCATTGGTGCTTTTGGTTGAGGTCCCGGGGGCCTCGGGTGTATTTCGGGTTGTATTGCGCTCTTATTTGATGTTTCAACGCCGTATCTTTGGCCTAAAGGGGTACCATATTAAGTAAATGAGCTCCAAATTAAGTTTTTATTAAACCATTAGATCCGTATCGTAATTTCGGAGCCATAGCAAAAACAATCGTCGAATTTGGACATCGTATGAGGGAGTTATGCTCATTTCCGTGTCGAGAAAGTGCTGGTTGCTGTCATAACCGCAAAAAAATTGCTGCAAAAGCGGGACCGCAAAAGCGGAAATTTTTCCGCGGAAGCGGAAAATTTTCCACAGAAGCGAAAAAAAGGGCCTGGGCAGAGAACTTAAGTTCTGAAAATGGGACTTCGTTCCCATTTTCCATTTTTGACTTCTAGAGGTCGGTTTTGGGAGAAATTTCGAGGGATTTTCGCGAGCAACGATTGGGTAACGATTCTCTACTCTCTTATGCTTAATACCTGCTAATCTAATCATGATTTCCTTCGTATTTTCGGATTTTTGAATGAAAAATGGGTCAAAATCCTTAGACTAAATTGTTGAGTTTTGAGTGGGTATTTGACATCCAATTTAAGAGATTTTTATATGGGTAGACTCGTGAGAGTGCGAGGGTTCTGAAAATGTAAAATTTATCCGATTCCGAGATGTGGGCCCGAGGGGCATTTTGGCCATTTTACACAATTTCGCGTATTAGCTTAGAATTTAATGTAGATCATACTTGAATTATTACTTACAATATGCACTTTAATTGAATTAGATTTNAGGAAAAAAGGAACAAGGAACAAAGAAGCAGGACATTGTGGCTGAAGTGAATAATGAAAGGGAAGAGGGTAAAAATATAGAAGGAGTACAATCAAAAGAGATAATCAAATCACAAGAGCAAAATGAGGAAGAGGGATGGCAGATAGTTAAGGGAAAGTCAATAGTAAGATTTGGAAAACATGGAGGGAATAGTACGGGGGCAATAATGAATGGAGGGAGTACACCTGAACCTACAAGCTCCCTGATGATAGGCATGGGAACCAGTAGTAGTAATACATGGGAGGAGATGAAGGAGTATGAAGCACCTTTTATTTCCAGATGAAGATTATTACATGGAATGTTAGAGGCCTTAATAAGGTCTATAAACAAAAAGAAATAAAGAAGTATATTAGAGAAAATAAGGTGGGGCTAATAGCAATAATTGAACATAGAGTGAAGCAGCAGGGGGCAGAGACAATTATACAGAAAATAGCAGCAAAATGGAAGTATAAGGACAACTATGTAGCAAGTATAAAAGGGAGAATTTGGGTTGTGTGGAATCCAGATGTTTTAGATTTTATACAATATAGTGTGACTGAGCAGATGATTACATGGAGGATTACTATTATAGAAAATAAGGAAGAATTCTGGTTTTCTGCAGTCTATGGTTTGCATACAGTTGAGCAGAGAAAATCTATGTGGGAAGAGTTAAGGAATCTGCAAAAGGGATTGAAGGGAGCTTGGATTGCTATAGGAGATTATAATGCAATAAATAGTTGGGATGATAGGTTTAATGGAAACCAGGTGATTGAATCAGAAACAAGAGACTTTAATGAGTTTCTGGATGATACAGGAATGGCTGAGCTGAAATATATTGGAAGAAAGTTCACATGGACTAACAATAACGTGCATAGTAAGATTGATAGAGCTCTAGTGAATGAGGAATGGATGATGAATATGAGACAGTTGGAGGTGGTGGTTCAAGACCCTTTATTCTCTGACCATACTCCTTTGTGTATATGTTTTGAACAGGAACAACAGAGAAGACCAACACCATTCAGATTCTTCAATGCAATAGCTGAACATAAGGAGTTTGAGAGCATAGTGAAAACAACATGGGAGGTGAACATGAGAGGAACATCAATGGAAAGAATATGGATGAAACTTAAAAGATTGAAGGGTGAACTGAAAAAACTGCATAAAGAGGAATACAGCAAGACCAAGGAGAAAGTAATAAATATTAGAGAGGACTTGAAGAAAATACAGGAGCAAATGAGAGATCCTGTGCAAGCAGAAAGACTGAAAACTGAGGAAAAACAACTTAGAGAAAATTTAGAGAAATGGAGCACAATTGAGGAGAGTATCATGAAGCAAAAATCTAGAATCCAATGGTTGAAGTTAGGGGACTCAAACACAACATATTTCCAGGCAAGCATGAAGAATAGAAATGCTCAGAAAAGAATTACAAAATTATCTACTCAAACTGGTGGACATACACAGAATCAAGAGGAAGTTGAGCAGGAAATCATTCAATTCTATAAGAGGCTTTTAGGAACAGCAGCTGAGGAAATGCAAGCAATTGAACCGGGGGTGGTGAAGAGGGGTAACAGATTGACAAGAGAACAACAATTGAAACTGATAGGCCCAATAACAAGAGAGCAAGTTGTCAAAGCTTTGAATAGTATAGATGATTCTAAAGCACCAGGGTGTGATGGGTATAATGCCTTGTTCTTTAAGAAGGCCTGGTCTATAATTGGTGATGAAGTAGTAGAAGCTGTGCAGGAATTCTTTAATAGTGCTGAAATGTATAGGCCTATAAACTGCACCTCAGTGACATTGATTCCTAAAGTCCAAAATCCTGCCAAAGTGGGTGAGTTCAGACCTATATCATGTTGTACTACAATGTACAAAATTATTTCAAAGATCCTAACATATAGACTACAAGAAGTGATGGATTATTTGGTGGATGAGAGTCAGTCAGCATTTGTACCAGGGAGAATCATCTCAGACAACATTATCCTAAGTCATGAGATAGTAAAAGGGTATAGCAGGAAGAATATTACACAAAGGTGCTACTTGAAGATTGATATGAGGAAGGCATATGATTCTGTGGAATGGTGTTTTCTAGAACAAGTGCTGGAGCAGTTGTGTTTCCCAGGAGTGTTTGTCACATGGATTATGAACTGTGTTAAAACAGTCTCATATTCTATTCTGATCAATGGGAATCCTATGAAACCTTTTCAAGCAAAAAAAGGTTTGAGGCAAGGGGATCCTATGTCCCCTTTTTTGTTTGTTATAGTGATGGAATACTTAACAAGAGAACTGAAAAGCCTAAAGGAGAACAAGATGTTTAGTTTTCATCCAAAATGTACTAAACTAAATATAGTTCAACTAAGTTTTGCGGATGATTTGTTGTTATTCTGCAAAGGAAGATTAGATGCAGTGAAGGAACTATATGAATGTTTCAAGAGGTTCTCAAATGTATCTGGATTGGAAGCAAATGAAGAGAAAAGTAGTGTCTACTTTGGAGGGGTGAAGCAGGATGTACAACAAGACATTCTGGACTACTTGGGATTCATTAAAGGAGAATTGCCTATAAGGTATCTTGGAGTTCCTCTGAGTACAAAAAGGTTGGCAATAACTCAATGTAAACCATTGATTGAGAAGATCATTGGCAGAATCACAAGCTGGACATCAAAGTTTTTATCTTATGCAGGAAGAGTTCAACTCATAAAGAGTGTCTTATTTTCAGTCCAAACTTTTTGGTCACAGATCTTTACATTGCCAAAAAAGTTGATACAAATGATAGAGAGTGTATGTAAGAGGTTCCTATGGACTGGAGGAGTTGAGGTATCTCACAGGGCACTCATAGCTTGGGACAGGATTTGCTTGCCTCAGACAGCAGGGGGGCTGAACATAATGGATATTCAGTTGTTTGGAATAAGGCTGCTGTGAGTAAATTGTTATGGAATATTTGTAATAAAAAAGACAAACTGTGGGTGAAATGGATACATTGTTACTATGGAAAAAATGGTAGCTTGTGGAAGAGTAAACCAATGCAAGCATCTTGGATAGTTCAGAAAATATTGAAGGCTGCAGAATACATGGAGGAAGCAGGGATACAAGAGGAGGAAATTAAAAAGATGGCTAAGTTCAATATACATATGATGTACAGGAAGTTGCAAGGAGAATTTTAGAAATGCACGTGGAGAAGGCTAATATGTAATAACTATGCTATTCCCAGGTGGAAAATCATCTTATTTCTGGCATTACATGACAGGCTACAGACGCGAGATAGAGTGGCTAAATGGAGTCTAGTGGAAGATAGTTCATGCACTATGTGTGAGGAAGATCTTGAAACTATTGAACACTTATTTTTTGGATGTACGATGACTGAGCAGATATGGAGCAGCATACTAAGATGGCAAGGGATTAAAAGAAGAGCAAAAGGGTGGGCTGAAGAAGTGAGGTGGGCTGAAATGAATGTAAAGGGGAAATCAGCAAAGTCTCACATGTATCGGATTTGTTTAGCAGCGTGTGTCTATCATATTTGGCATGAGAGGAATATGAGAGTTTTTCAGCAGAAAATCAGAAGCAAGGAAGAAGTTCTGCGAGCAATAGCACAGGAGATACATTACTGTGGCAGCAAGTACAGAAAGTTAGATAAAACATTACAGGAAATGAAGTCATACCCGCGATTTGAGTGATAGTTTATTGTTGATAGTACCTTGAAGATATGTTTTTTTTGGTTCTTTTTGTGTAAGTAGATAGAAGAAGAGTACAGGGCTTGGGGCATGATGTCCAAGTGCCTGAAGATACAGATTTGTAAAGTTTTGATACTTGGTTTGTGAAATAAAAAATTTTACTTACCAAAAAAAAAAATTTGCGTTATCAGTGAGAATTTTAGTAAAATCTCGATAATTTATGTAGGCTTGTAAAATTTATTGGATTCAAATTCAATAAATAATTTGGATTATATTTTAAATATACTAGTCCAAATAAATATTATGTTCTAATATAATTAGATTAATTACTTAAGTCCAACAAATATTGACCGGGCAAGTCCATTTAGTTGGGCTACAAATAATAAGCCCACTTTATTAGGCTCAAGATGTCATCTTCCTAAAGGCCTAGTTTGGCGCCACGTGTCAAATGACTTGGCGCGCCAAATCAAATGGAAGAGCCAATAGGATCGTGCCACGTGTCAAAATGACAAGGCATGCCAAGTCAAGTTAAAGGGACAATGAAACCGCGCCACGTGTGCAAGTAACATGTTCCGACCAATCAAATGTGGCATTGTCACACTTCAATTTGATTGGTCAGAAAGAGTTTGTTCTTATCATAACTCTTCTTCCCACAACTATAAATAGGGGTCTTCATAACTCAGAAAAGACACCAGAAGTTATAACAAGAAGCAAGAGAGATCTCGTGGATCAAACGCCGTAAATTTCTCTACAAGTTTCAATCTTCAAGCAATCAAGTTCAAGTTCAAGAAATCAAGTTCAAGCTCAAGAACGAAGAACAAATCAGGATTCAAGGAGTACGAATTCAAATCAAAGTTCGTGTTAGTTGAATTCAAGATCATCATTCGTGACAACAAATATAGGTTCAAGATCAAGCTCAAAGGCCTTTGAATTTATATTAAAAAAGTAGAATCAAAGTAACCATAGAGATTGTATACTCATATTATTTAAAATCAAATACTACGATTGTTGCAGTATTTTTCGGTCTCAATTATATTTTCTTGACACAAATTTATTATCTACAAATTCTGGCACGCCCAGTGGGACAATCTCTACCTCTCATGTCAACTTTTCAATCACCAAAGTCCAAGAATGTCGAAATGGATTCAAAGAAAATCAACTCCAGATCAACATCCACCAAGGCTACTAACTCCAAGTTGTATGCTGATGTGGAAAGCATCCTTGATGTTACCTTTAGAAGCTTCGGACCAGTTACGAGGAGCAAAGAAAGCTCTTTATGACAACAAGCACTTCAAGTGTCGTCCGCATCAACCCCTGTTTTCGGATCTTCATCCTCAAAAGGAGCAAGATCTTTCACAAACGCACCCGAAGGAGGAAGCGATGTTGCTGAAAAGATCAAAAAACTCTTGCTCAGCTTAACCTCTCCGGATCCAAGAACTCTGCTATGAAGGAAGATGATGATGCTTCAAGTGATAGATCCTCCCCACTTACACCGCGTAGCGTAAGCCATTCGAGAATCAATTTGTGTGACAATCCATGCTACTCCCCATCATCCACAACAATCATGCAAGCCATGGTGACAAATACTCCATCTGTGGAAGAGCAGTTGGCAAACTTGATGGAAGCAACCGCTGGCTTG